TTTCTTGTTCTTCCTGCGTGACTCCGTTATTTCTATTTTATTTTTTAATATTTATATCTATTTTTTATATTCTTATTTTATTTTGATACATATATATAGATATAGATATATGTTATATGTTATATTTATATATTTATTTGTTTTATATTTTTATATTTATATTTTATAAATATGTATTATTTTTATTTTATTTTTAATTCTATATTTACCTTTATTTTTATGCTGCCTCTGCTGGAGGGGGGGATGGGCAGGGCTCCTGGGCATGTGCAGAGGGTTCCTTTCTCTCCAGATTCCAAAACCACCTGGGCAGGATTCATAACTGAAATTGGGGCCCTTGACTGCATCTTAGCGTGGAGGGAGAGCTTAACTGGGACACCTGCAGGGGGGTTGGACTAGATGACCTCGGGATCCCTTCCAAAGGTTCCAGTCTGGGATTCTCTGCTCTTATCGGGGCTCCTCTCTGGGCAGTGGTCCGACCAGGTGACCCCCAGGGTCCCATCTGCTCTTCCAGTCTGAGATCCTGCACTCTTATTTTGATTTCTGCTCTGGGCTGGATGATTTCTGAGGTCCCCGCAGAGTTTCCAGTCCAGGATTCTCTGCTTTAGTTTGGCCTCAGTGGCCTGGCATCTCTGGGGTCCCAACTCCTTAAAGGTGCTGTCTGGACCCCCCTGTGGCCTCCAAATGCCTCCCCGGCAGATACAGAGAACACGTGACTGACACACACACACAACACACACACACCCATAACTGGCAAGACACGGTAGCAGGAACAAGCAAGATTTGGGGAACATCGTTTTAACATTAATCGGGGATCAGTGCACCCCCTTTTCCAAAATCTCTCGCACCAGTAGCGGCAAGCAGCTTTCCCGGTGGCACTGCAGCCTGACACTCCCCCTCCGCTAACCACCCCCCTCGGCCTGTTTCTTCCAGATCGCCATCCGGGCCTGCTTCCTGGGCTTTGCGTTCGGGTGCGGCCTGTTGCTCAGCTTCAGACAGTCTTCATGGAAACATTTTGGCTGGTAAGAAGAGCGTCCTTCACGGGGGGGGGTCTCTACTGCTCCCCCAACCAGGACCCTGGGTGTGTTTGCAGGACGGGCTGAACAGCGGGGGCTTTCGGATCCGGGCTGTGGAATTCCAGCCGGCGACAGATAATCCTGCTGTCCCCTGGATTTGTCAACCCTGGTCTGCGTGTGGCTGGTGTCCAGCAAACCAGAGGAGTGTGTGTGCGTGAGGCAGGTGTTTGCTGAACCCATCTAATATCTTGGAGGCGTATTTTATTTAATAGTGTGGCTTGCAGAACAATAAAAACAGCAAAAGCACATCTCTTAATCGTTCCCAAACTGCATGTAATAATAATAATAATAATAGTAATAATAATAATAATAATAATATCTGTCTGCCCCCAACTCCCAGTGACTCTGGGTAATATTCCCTGCTAACAGGAGCGAGAGCGTCGGTCAGTTGGGCATCTTTTAGCCGTTAACCCAGAAGCACCATGAAAATCCAGTATTACTCCAAACACGCTCGCTCTGTTCCGTGCAAGCTGGTTGCTCGCCTCTTTGCCTCCCTCCAGCTCGGAGGTGTGCGCAGCATTCCGACATCCCTTCAGGATGGTGCAAACGGTTCCTGGATGGGTTTGCACGGCCTCTTGAACTAACGGGGTGGGAGTAATGCTAACGGAGGTTACAACAAGCCAGGTTCAGTGCATGTGGGAAAGGCGTCTGCTGGAATCGTACTAAGGAAAAGCGAAGTGTGTGCCTTGCGCTCAGCTTTGGCTCCTGGTGGCTTCCTGGACAAGTCCTTGCACTTTTTCCTGAGCACCTTTTTTGGGAAGCGTTTTGACCTCACTTCCTTCTTCCTAGGGCTGAGAGAGAGGGACGGCCACAAAGTCACCCACCTTTAAGCAGAACTAAAACTCACCGTCTTCCAGTTTCTAGCCTGGGCCTTTAACCCAGTGTTTCTCAGCCTTGGCAACTTTAAGAGATGTGGACCCATGCTGGCTGGGGAATTCTGGGAGTCGAAGTCCACATCTCTTAAAGTTGCTAAGGTTGAGAAACACTGCTTTAACCCCTCTGCCAGAAATAGCTTTTAGAATCATACTACAGACCAGAGTTACAAGACACAAGGAAACTTGAAATGCATTTTGCAAGTGGTTTCTTTACAACAAAATAACAACATTATTATTATTATCACCACCTTTGGTGGGGGGGAAGAAACAAAGAAGCGTTTCACCGCTGCTGTTAAAACACTTGTGAATCTGAACTCAG